CACGGGTAAATTGTAGTTAACTCCAAATAAAATTTTAGAGAACCATCCAAATTGATTCACTCAAAAATATGTGACCTGCTTTCGGGCTGTCGTTGAAAATGTGTCTATTTAAGCCTCAAAATTTGTTGCATAAATTTAGGCATTCTATCTAAAAGGAATATTTTGTGATTTTTGGATTATACATATATCCAATCAGATAGGCAACTGTGTTCGGTACGAATCTTAGACTGCGCGTCATCATAACTTAAAACTCAAGCAAGCAAAAAGGCTTCATAACTTGCAACTATATAGTATAACAAATCTTGACAGTTCACACAGCTGATCAGCTCTGCAAAGGTAAGTTATTATGAGAACTATTCCCAATAAGACATAAGGCAATGGTATAACATTTATATATTAATTGCCTGAGAAATATTTATAGAATTTAAATAGATCAATAATATATATGTATCCTGATTGTATCCCATAAATACCGAAAATCTCCCAACCGTGAAAATGTGCAAGCTTTTTTCAAATAGCAAACATTATCGTTACGCAAGTGCCTCAATTTTTTTTTATGTTTTTGGAAAATATTTGGAACCAAAATAAAAGCACTTATCTAGCCCGCTAGTTATTTAAGTAGCTAATTGTTGTCAGCCTCAGAGCAACAACAAGGCACCTGATGTCCTGTGCTATCCACTCATTTTATTTATGACGTTTTTCGTCCTAATGGTTGTCGAGTCGGTTTTCGAGATGGTCCCGAGTTGTTGCCTGGTCTCGTCCGTTCAAGCATTGCTCTATTGGTTTTCCCCTTCGATGCGTGCTAAAAGTGTTTTTCTTTTTGGCAGTTTGAGAGCGAGCGGGTCTTGCGCGAAACCTGCAGAAACCTGAGTAAACAGCAGCAGCAGCAGGAGCAGCAGCAACAGGGCCAATAAAAACAACAACAACCACAACACCAAGAACAACAATGACAGGCACTTAAAAACTGGCGCTTTGAACTCGACGGTGTTGGTCGTTGTGCGTGTTTTTGTTGCCAATGTTATTGCTATGCTGGCAGGCACTACTTTTGTCTGAGGTTGTTTTCTAAGGTGGTGCGGTGGGGTTGTGGATGTGGATTTATTTTAGCTTTCCATATAGTTTCAAGGTTATGCTCAGTGAGCGTGCATCCCCTCAACTGCCTTTGAAGTGGTCAACCGAAAGCCGTCGACCTGCCAATCTATTTAAAATTGAATTTACATTTGAATGAAATACAAAAGTGTACAACGCATTCAACCACCGCAAAGGCTAAAATATACTTGATACATTATGTGGTTGGCCAATAAGTTTCACTATAATAATCGCATTCGTCTTCCAAAATTTCCTTCGAGATTTCAAGAAATATAGAGAACTCCTTTCCGTGTGTTTCTCAGATACGTTCAAAGCATTCTGACCACTATGAAAAGGTTGGGTCTGGAATGGTATTATATCTTCGTCATGCCGAAGATAGCCCTTCTTTCTCGTTTAAGCTTTCTGTCCGATATTTTATTTAATAAATCTATTTCTAGTCTCAAGCCATTCAGAATCTCAAGAATATCTCAGCAATTTTTCAATTTAAAGTTAATTAAGTTATACCGCTTTTTAGCAGGCGTATTCACTGTTGCAGCCGCTGTGAGACAAATTATGCACTTCTGAGTTGCCGTTCATGAAAAAGATTACAACAACAGCTGGCTTTTGGTCAGCAGCTGCTGCCTCGAAAATTTAAGGGCCGCCAGGAAAATGCTGCAACTAGTGTAAAATATTTGCAATTTAATTAAACGAAATTAAACAATCTTGCCAGCATTTGTGCAAACATGTGTGGCAATTGTGCTTGTAATCTAAATTTGCAAGTTTACCATCTAAGAAAAAGAAGAAAGAGAAGAAGTTGCTGCATCTACCTTTAGGACTCTTGCTGCTTGGTCGCAACTCCGACCAGATGCAAGTTTTTGGATTCGTTGCTGTTGCTGTTGCTGCAGCTTTTGTGGCAAGTTTCTGTGAATACGTCTGCCTGGCGGCAGCAGCACAAAGGACCAAAGGAGCACAGTAACAGTTGCATGTCCTGCAAAATTCAAACAAAACTGGGAAGGAAGCAATAAATGCAGAGTAAAGTTTTGTTTCTAATGACGTTGATAAAGGCACAGAAAAAAAAAATAAAATGAGAAGAGAAGTCAAAATAAATGAAACTATAAATCGATATTCCATATATACGTGTGCATATGTATACAGATGAGTTGTATATACATAGATGTGTTTATATTTGCATTTAATATTCGCATTGTTGCAATGCTCGCAAAAACTTTTTTAATGAATTTATTTTCTTGGTGCTATTAAAACAAGCAACATTTTCTTGTTTCGTTTTTCCTTTGCCCCATTTAATTTACGGCGTACACCAAATGGCACAGTAGTAGAAGAAGAATAAGAAACATAAACATGCAACTAAATGGGCGCTCAGCCAGCAAACATGCTGAAAAATTTACAACAAATGTTAAATCCACTGCTTTGGCTCCAGAGCTGCGTCGCCAGGTGTGGCCATAATTGGAATGAACGCGCTTTTTGGCCAAAGCGGGCGCTTGCAGGTGAAGCGACAACTCATGCATCAGGTCGTCCCAATTGAATTACAATGAACTACAACAAATAATCGAGCGATACGAGCCAAACATTTCATAATCAATTAGAGCTAATGAGGCAATTTTCTAATGGCCAGCAAATCAGCAAGCAATATGCTAATGACCGTCGACCCACAATAAAATTCAATTTAAATGCCTTATTACATAATTTGATCCTTATCTTGGCAGACGAGACTCTATGCATATTAATTATCATTCAAAACTGAATCAGAAACTGCAACAGCAGCAGGAACTGGAAAAGCGCCAACCCTCGGGAATCTGAATTGAGATTGATTTATGTTAATGCACTTGATGAATAACCATTTGAGGCACATGGGTAAAAATGCTAAAGAAGTACTCTATAACATTTTTACATATACAAAAATATATACTTATATGAACATATTTATATATTTATAAAAATTTGTCCTGAGGTTCTGTTTGGGGATCTACAAACAGTCCAAAGAGCTACGAAGCTGAAGTGAGTACAGAAACTCCTGTTGAGTAGAAAGTGAGCACCAAGAGGAGGCTTTGGAAAATTAGCATCAATATTCAGTTTTTAGCTTTGCTTTTATTCGGCCCCATTTCATCATTATTCATTTGTCGTGGGCGACAGCGGCCTTTTTCTTCTGATACTATAAATACTAATTATTCATCACATCTGTTTCTGAAGAATAATTCAACAGATTAATCCCTTATCAACAATATTATCTCATGTTAAATCATTTTCAATTGTCGATAATTTTGTACAATAACAATATTCTCAGTATGTTCATATTTATATTAATTTGTATGCTGCGGCCCACCGCAGATTCAAATTGCGAATTCAGAGAGTACAATATTTATATAAATTGGAATACCTGTCGGTGGCTTTCTGTTTACAAACTGATAATTTGACACGCAAATAATATTAAAGTGTCACATTCACGTGTTGTCGTTCAATTAATTTATAATAAATAAATAAGTAAAAGTTGCGATGGAAAATATGAAGCATTCATAATTTCGCTTGTCACTTTTTGTTAAAATCATTTACTCTCGCACACACACATCCGCGCAAGTACGAATACATCCTGACATCACACATTTAATTAATTTAATATGCATTTTTTTTAATAACATTAATAACGTTAATTTTCTGATTGGGCCACTTTTCATTAGCACACTATAATTGATGAAGCAAAAAAATGGTGATAGATCCGTTTTAAGGGTACGTTGTAAAGGGCTACCGGGCAATATGCATATACTGTATGAATATATTTAACGTTTGAATAACTGAAAAGATATATTTGTGAAAATATATATGAGGTTATAGTTTTCTTTGTGACGAAGACGTTCTTGCTTCGCTGAAATATACCTGGAATACCGTCTGTAACATAACGTCTGGAACGCCAAAACATCCTAACTTTTAGAAAAACCCTTTTACCGATGTCACTGATATCATGTTCCTAAAAACAAATTTGTTGGGACAATTATTTTCTTATATTAAGAATAATATTTCTGATTAAAAGAATTGGCCGTATAATCAATGGCGAATTTCTAAGGTCAACAGTTTTTATGGTAACTGGTTAATGCAATTTAAATTAAATGCTAAATTAAGTTGTAAGCCATTTTAAATTTTAATTCAAATTTGAACGCAAGCAGTTATAATTCCCAGCTAGGATATCATTCATATATATACAATATATTCGATATATGCATATCACCCGAAATACTTACATTCAGTTGCTTATCCATGTTTTTATATATCTAAGCAATTGAATACGTTTCGACTAATTCAACTAATTGCCTGGATATAAGGATATAAAAGAGGATTTACAAAACAAGGCAGGGACAACTAATATGCTGTCAGTTGCCTGTTTCAACCTGCTGCCTGCCCCATGCAGGCAGAGGACAGGCCACATCATCTGCCTATGTCATGCCCAGGGCACACAGCGAAACATTTTGTCATCTTCGTGTAAACGTCAAATGCCAAGCGAAGTCGCATGCCAAACAAAGCAAATCGTGTGTGTGGGTGTATGTGTGTAGATGTGTGTGCGTGTGTCGTACCCCGTGTCAAGCAATTTACAAGTCAAAGACACGGCAAGGCAAGTTTCTGACAGGACAAACAGCAGGATGCCCCGAATGCCAGTAAAGCTGGGCGGTTATCGTTGGCGTTGGCGGCAAGTAAAAGGTGGCGCTGCATGCCTGCATCGTCTTCATTCCTTTCAATTTCAATTCCAAGATTTCATCACTGTTGGCTTAATTAATACCAAAGATGTTTAGATGTTGAGCAGCAGCGTGTCAGCACACTTGAATTTGACATAAGAAAAAGTTGTTGAGAATTCGAGTTAAGCTAGTTTTATCGTTCGCAGAATCAGAGCAGCTACAATTAGCTGCCACACAGCTACTATTGTATGAGTCTTAAATATATTTGCTTAAAGCTCTAACAAAATATTCGGCACGTTGCGTTAGCCAATTGCGATTTATTTCACGCATATTGAACGCTTCCTGTAGATGCTCCTCGAATTTACTTTGGCCCTTCAATTGTTGCCTCAACTGATGCTCCTCAAGTTCGGTGTACGAATTGCCAATTATTGTTAAGAGCAACATTTTAATTTCCTTGCTGCTGAATTTGTTACTGCAATATAGAGTTAAAAATTAAACTAGTTCCTTATCAAGCTGAATAAGCACCTACTTGAGTATTTTGGCATGCTTCAGAATATGGTCTGTGGTCTCCGGTGCCACATGTTGACGGCGCAGTGCTGAAGTAACGGCTTGTATATAATACCTATATGTGGATTTATCCGTTGCCCGCAGTAAATAGTCCAAAAACGATTGCAACTGGCTAAAATCAGGACTGCAGCCAAGTTCTGTTGCCCAGGCGTCCTTTGTTGCAACAGCAGTCAAGTTTTGAAAGCGTTCCCTCAGAAAATGAAACAGCATCTCGTTGCCCTGTTCAATGCTCGTACAATACATAATATCTCTATAATTAACAGGCACCTCCGTGCCGTACTCAGTTCCTTCGGTATATCGCACGGCCTGACTGACGCAGTCGTCCACGCCGTAGCGGCAGGCCTGATTATACGCCAAACGATATAGAGCAATAGATGGACTCGACTTGGTTCTTAGCTCCACTGAGTTTATTTGGGGACAGCGGCCATAAAGTGGTGCAACAAGCTTTCTCATGAAGAGCTGCAATGGAAAGGCTAGTAAAAACCAGATTTCATATATTTAAATTAGAGCCCTGCATCGGTTAATTAATTTCCATCAAAGTGGGATACTCGATCAAGTTAACCGTAAATCGACGATTATCTTCGATTATTTAAAATGCGTTTTAGTTGATCCGGTGCAGGACTCTAAGTCCTTATGATTCCTTAAATAGCTCACCCTAAATTTGATCGCCATCTCGTCGCGCAGCAGGGCACCAAGCTTGTTAAGCACTTCAAAGGCTGTGTTCCAGGGCAAAAGTTCGCGCTCCCGCGGCAGATACTCCAGCAGTCTGAATGCCAGCTCATAACTCTGACGCTTTGTCGACGCCAGTGCCAAAAGATCATCCACCAGCTGTGCTCGATTAAGTACATGAATATCGCCAAAGTGTTCGTAGGAATTTAGGGTGTCGATGATCATGCGCCAATTGCGCTCATCATAGTTGACACGGTAGATGGAGTTCACTTGTGGATTCAACACTGTAACTGTACGGTTTTCTCAGCACCGGGACATTCCAGCCAAAACTGTGGTTGTGTTTGCTCAAAATCTCCATGCAGTTGGTTCACAAACGTGAGCGGAATCCACCAGCAACTCTCGTCTTTTTTATCTTCATCAACAGTTGCTAGCATAAATCGGGTTTGATTAACCCGGACAAAACCTGCTGTATAGTTCCTAATCACGCTCACAAGCGGATAACCCTTTTGCAGTGTCCAAGAGTCCATGACAGTGGACAGAGATATGGCAGCAGCCGAGGTGCCCTTGACAGCCGCAGCCTCCTGCATCGCCTGCCAGAGATCAGACTGAGCAACACTGTCATAAGCATGCCGAACCACATAGTTGCGTATGCCTGTAAAAAAAACATCGTTGCCTAGCAACATGTGCAGCATGCTCATCGTCAGGGATCCTTTTTTGTAAACATACGGAGTGAACTGTTCCAAAATACTTTTCGAATCGTTCACAATGCGTGAAATTGCAATTGTGTCGTTAAACATGTCCTGATAAAAGAATAGGGCCAAATCATTTGCAATTCTGCGCTCAAAACTGCCCCATTCAGGCATCAGAGCTTTCAGAGTCAAGTAGCCGAGGTATGTGGAAGGTCCCTCCTTAAGCCAAAGATCGTTCCGCCATTTAATGGCTACCAAATTACCAAACCATTGGTGTGCATATTCATGTGCCATTGTGCTTGCCTTATTCTCTTTTGTCTGCTGCATTTCCACCTCATCGTTGTGCACAAAATGGCTCTGCTTGAACGTGATCAGACCCCAGTTCTCCATGGCACTGAATTTGTGTGTTGGCATTGCCAGCTGATCAACCTTATGCAATGGAAACGTATACTCCAAAAGTCTCTCCAAATAACTCAGCGCTTTTGGTGCGAATTCCACCCCGAAGCTGCTTTCCTCAACGACCTTCGGTTGCATCCAGCTGCGAAAGGTGACTTTATGAGCAGTGTCACTTGGCCGGGCTGGTACGCTAGTTAAATTGTGCACGGCATAGGCCACCAGGTAGGTGGACGTACTTAAAAGAGGTTCATGTTCGCACGAGACATAGTCTTTAAGCGTGTCACTAGAATAAGAAGTGGTTTACCTAAACAAACACCTTCTGGAATCAACTAATAACAAAAACTTACTGTACTACACATTTGCTCACTGGTGTATTGCTTAGTCCTGTGTAATTTTTATGATAGCCCAGTGTAACCCTGAACGTTGCCCTCAAATGCGACTCATCGAAGCACGGAAATGCAGTCCGGGCATAAGTTGGTGAGAATTGTGTTGCTGCCAAGTAACTGTAAGCAAAAGCAAAACATTAGACGCCAGTCATTTGTTTATAAAGCTGCAAACTCACTGTGTTTGCTTCGTCACTGAATCATTAAAGGAGCTCCAGTAGTAGCCCATATCATTTGCATTCAACATACTCTTGAAGGGCATGATCAGCCGGTAGTGCTCATTGAGCTGTAGTTTCTCAGCGAGATGCATTATGTAAAATTCACACTTTTCATTTACCTCAATGTTTGAGATGCTGTAATTGCTGCCGTTTAGCGATGCCAAACTAATGTTTGCTGCATCTATAGTCAAATTCTTGGCATGCAGCGTAATATTCCTTGTCTCTTGCAGTATTTGAAAATCGATTTTACGCGACCCTCGAATCGCAGATCGTCAGGCCCAGTCAAATGGGTCAGTATACGGAGATCATAGTGTTGGGGCTTGAGAGCCGTGGGTAATCGATAGGCATTATAGCTAGATAGCACTCCAGTGGCTAGCAAGAGGCTTACCAAGTAGTATGTCAACCGTCGCATGCTGTGTTAATGAAAAAAAGAGGAGCCCCTAAGCCTTTAACTTTGGAAGGGAAGAAATACCTTAGCACTCGTCTCACAAATTGAAAAAATTTTTGGATTAACTCCTTCTTGAAAAACCTCAGCAATCTTCACATCACATTTTGTGATCCTTACCCTAAAAACTCCGAGAGATCTAGATTAGGCCAGAAAGGAGATCATCGCTAATATGCCAACTAAGCCTAAGCTTTTCGTTTCTAATTACAAAAACGATTTGGCCACATATGTAACTATTTTCATTGCACTTATCGGGCTTAATTTAAGGCTAATTAGTTTTATTTTCAGATGCAAATAATAATCATTAAAGTTTTGGTGATCATTTTTATATCCTTGCGGAGGGTATTATAATTTTGCCTCGAAATGTGGAACGCATAGAAGGAAACATCTGTAACCCCATAAATTATATATATTCTTGATCAGTATTAACAGCCGAGTCGATATAACCATGGGTGTCTGTTCGTCTGACTGTTTCTATGCGAACTGGTCTCTCAGTTTTAAGCTATCGTCATGAAACTTTGCAGAAGTCCCTATTTCTGTTGCACGCAGTACATATGTCAGAACCGGCTGAATCAGATCACTATATCATAAAGCTGCCATAGAAACGATCGGTCGAAAATGAGGTTCTTAAGTACGGGCAAAGCATTCTGAGCGTTATGAAATGGTTGGCAAAGGTATTAAATCTTCATCGTGCCGAAGATAACCCTTTTTTCTCGTTGTTCCTTTTTAAGTCATTATTTAAACTCTTTCGTTCCTACAATGAGCTCGATTGAAAACAGAACAGAAAAAACTGCATACAAGGTTATTCGTACTTAAAGAGTCATACTTGAAATACTGGATTCAAGTATTATCAGTGTTAAGGTGCTTTTATGACTGGTTCTAGACGCTGAAAGGACGAAGTTCTTTATTTTCTCCGCTCTGTGTGGATAAACATGGTTTAACAAGGTAACATTGAGGGATGTGAGTCAAATTTTTTATTTGTTTTCTGTCACATTTCGGCCTTTATAATTATTTAATATTTTTTCTGTAAATAAAATGTTTAAGCCAGTGCGCTCCCTTTCGGCGCATTATTTCTTTCCAAATCGAACAAAATGTTGCTTTTACATTAAATATTCGGTACGCTCACTGCCCCAAAATCGAGCACTAAGTTACCTGGGTCAGCGTCAACAAGGTTGGAAAACGGCGCTGATGCTTTGGCTCAGCGGTCTGCGTTCGCGCTATTGCATGTGGAAATTGCGGCGTCTGCTCGGCCGTGAGTTTGATGAGTACGAATTTTTGGTGGGCGCTAGACAGGCGGCCACCATAATGATCGAGGCGGTGCATCAAGCGAACTGGAGCCGCATACGCAGCTGTTGCACAGATCAGGGCGCCTGCGCCATTTACGGGCTTACACATAGCCAACGGAAGATGCAATATACGAATCTGGTGCGGTTTGAGAGCCATCATCTGTGCCAAGTAGCGCCCATTTCCGTGCAGCGGCAGTGCGAAGATGGACGCAACTATGTCTATGCGGACATTGTTTTTATCGGATTGCGTGATATGCGTGACTTTGCCACCTATGGTGAGCAGCAGCAGATGTTGCAGCAAATTAAAGAGGTACTGCAGAAATCACAGATACCAGAGCAAATTGCACCAACACATCGACGCGTTGTGTTGGGTGAGTTTCTATTGACGCTGCGCAAGGAGCTAACCAAATCTGACGCAGATTTACAGGGCTGGTTGGTCGACTTTTATAAGGTGTATGGATTTAAGCTCGTCAACTACAGTCCCGTAACGTTGCAGTATCGTGTAATTGAGTTCCTAAAACCAGTTTAAAAGCAAATCCAAAAATTGAATTCCATAAATGCTCACCTGCAGCCACTATCAAACTGTTCGCTCAGTTTATCAATTTGTCAAGCTCGCTACGTGCGCGCTTAATGATCGTGTCAAGCATCCAAATTAACTAACAGATATCTCTATAATATACACACGCGTCCGTTCACCTGTGCACACCGATGTTAACTGAATGCAGCATACCACAAACAGCTCTATTTATAGTTCTTGAACCTTCCCCCAATAAGTGTATAGTATATACGATATGTATACAAATAGAAGGTTCTTGTAATTGTATATACTTATTATACTAAATTTATAATTTGACTTCAATCGTCTCTTTTCTCTTCTCAATTCTCATATTTTACTAACGATTAAATCGAGAGTCTTAAATTAATTTCCATAATATACAGAGGCTTAAATATTTATTTTTTCATAATTTTTAAGATTAACAAATTAATATAAAGGATGTAAGCATGTTCTAATTGAATCTGCTTAAGGGGCACATATTCTTGTAATAAATTTATTTAGGGCAAATGTAATTTAATGAAGTTAATTGGTTCAAATGTAGATTAACACAGTCTTGATAGAGACACACAAAAAGTTCTTAGTTCGAGATGAAATTTAAACAAAAAATTCATCACAAGTAAATTGTATATATGTGTGATTAAACCTATTTAGTAGTCATGGCGTTCTCTCAGCCCTTCAAGTATGCCCTTAGCTCAGCATTACATTCCATTTAAACCTTTCGGCATACCCTTCACAGTCTCATTTGGCCAGCAGGACCTGCATTAACTGTTGCATTACTCTGGCCTTTGCACGCACGTTATTTTGCCATTTTGCAATCTGGGCAATGCTTTGGGCTCTGGTGAAAAATAAACTATTCTCACACTTCTCGCATGAAATCACGCCGTGTCGCTTTCGAAAGGCACATAAAAAATGGAGGGCTTAATTAAAAGGCAAAAATGTGCTGCGATTTTCCGCTTTTTTAACGCCAAGTGCAACAACTCCTTTCCCTTTACCCTTCACCCCAGCACCATAGCCAGGGCCTGGGCCAGTGCCAGAAAACGGACGCGAGACAGGGAGAAATGGACAACATTTGCAAAAAGAAAACACTACTTAGTGGCGACTTTTTATTTGCTCTTGTGTTCCTTGGCAGCAGACAGCAGCCAGTTCAAATGTGCCACGTCTCTGGCTCATATGTCTTCTTTGGACGAAGGTTTCTCATTTTGTGCCCTTCTCTTTTTTGGTAATGAAACATTTTTTGTTAATTAAAGCAACGCGAGAAATGAAAAACTCTCAAGAGCTCATTAAAACTGGAAGTCAATGTTTCAAGAATCATGATATTTGCGCTGGTAAGTGCTTCTGTTGATATATATGAGGACTTTGCAAATGTGACGTCATAAGCTTGGGGACTTCGGTTTCTGGGCGTCGGACTATCAAGCGAGAAGTTGATGATTCAACTCCAGCAGCAATTGCTTTTTTTGTGTTTGATTATTGGGAGTAAAGAATAATATTTAAAAATTATTTATTGATCTAGAATATATATGAATAGATAAATATAGAAAAATACATTGAAGATTACATCTACGGCCGCAGTTAATGTGACTTATTTTTAATTTGTTCCTTAATTTTGTAGCCTTGCCCACATTACAATTAAATTCAACTGCAGTACGGCGATGCACAATACTGCCCACACTTTACAGGTAATTGCTATTCATCAGTTTGCACACTAATAAATATGTATGTGCCTTTATGGTGCCGCGTTGGAAATACAGAACAAGCCGAATGGAGGGAATCCATCACAATTTACAGCGCAAACGGACCAAAGTTGGCAATAAAATTTAATTTATATCCTGTGAAAACGCTGCTGCTGGTTGTTGGGTTAGCTCCCGGACAAGGCAAACGCGTTCAAGTGTTTGCAAAACATTTAATTCCATTTTCGATTGCTGTGGAATGCAAACCGCTAAAGGGAGGAGAAGATGAGGTGCGCACAGGATACGCCACATAGGCCACACGCTGGCTATAGCCAGGGGTTGGCTTAAGAGTATGGGCAAGAATGCAATTGCAAATTCCCGACAAATTTGAAATTTGAATTGGCAAAACTACCTGACAGAACAGATGGACAGACAGGCAGACAGACGCATATTCAAACTGGCAGCAGCACTAGACGCTAGCCTAGTGTCATTTGTAAGCATTGTCCAGCATCCACTCGAACAGCATTTGTTTGGGTTGCGAAACGGGGGAATCCCCGCAGCTGCAACTGCTGCTGCTCCTAGCAGCTGGGCAAATCGGGGCAATCGAAGTGCCTTAAAGTGCTCCATGGCTGCCACATAAATAAATGTTTGCACATTTACTTTACCTTCTCTACCCTGTACTGTGTGCTAGCCACTGGTGTTGGGTTTGTTGCCTCTGGCTTTGATTCGTTGCGCTTCCTGTTCCCAGCACGTTCATAACTCAACTCTGGCCGGGCATTGCGGGAGGTGGTGGGTGGTTGGGTCTCCATGTAGCCGGGCCCTTTATTTGCTTGTAATTTGAAGCTGACTGTGCAGCAATCTCGATACAAATCCTCAACAGCTCAAAAGGCAACTTGAACTGCACTGCAATGCAGTTAAAATGCTCGGAATTCCTCCAGAGTATCATTGCCATAACTTTGTATATTGTAATGGCAATGCGATTGACCGAATCTGCCACAAGAATACTAACATATATCACATGGATATGCCGAGACGCCCACACCAGCAAATGGTAGCCAACTGCTGCCACTCACTAATTTCCCAATCAAGTACTGCAACAACTCTGCAGTCTGTCGGTCCATCGGTTGATGACGATTAGCGCCCGACAATGCCAAAAGCAAAGCCAATTCG